TTTGTTTTTTGTATCCTCAGAAAAATATTTTTTAATAAGGATAGCTTTGATCCCGAGGATACACCTTATCCTCAAGAAACCCTTAAGAATGTTGATCGACTTTTATTTACCTTTTTCATGTTTTTTGTTAACAATGTTTTTTTTGCTTATTTTCATTACAATTTAAGCAGTTTGAAAGTTTTTGTGTTTTAAATGATGTTCTTCTAATGCTTCTTTTGAGATGTATTATCAAATGATTAGCTATTTCATTTTTAAAAAATTCACTATAGAGTGTGTGTTATAGCCTTTTCATTTTAAAAATAATATAATCAATTACAAATTCAAAAACATTAATTGTGAAATAAAAAAAAACAAAAAGCAAAATATTTTTTATATTTTTTTATAATATGATATTGCTACTATTGTTGGTTTGTTGATGATATTAAACATGTTAATGTCTGCAATCATGACTGCATATGTAACTTTTTCCTTTGTAAATAATAAGTATTGGCATAAAATTCAAACCAAGGTCAAGATTCAAACCAAAAACAATATAAATACCATGAAAAATTAAAACTTAAAACGATAGATGAATGCTTCCCGCCTAGCGATGATATACCAAGCCAATGTAGTGCTATACATCGACCGAGAAACTACACTTAGGAATTTTCGCCTTGTCAACAAACGGGCACATGAAGCGATTCGTTGTTTAAAAGTGAATCCACGTTCGATCTATTTGGGGTACAACTTCCTTTTCAATTTCTTTCCACACCTCAACACACTCACTGGTAACTTGAACACAATGGTACACTCTTTGACACAGAAGCAGATGGATCAAATCACTTGGTTTGACTGTTCCAATGCAGAGATATCACCAGAGGCTTTTGATGGTACTATTTTGAATAAAATCATCACAATTTCAATACAAAAGGGGAGCTTTAGTTATGTTCAAAAACACTGCACAAAGGTTAGAAAAATAGTTATAACACTCGACGACGATTTTTCATTTGAAAATTTAAGATTCAGATTTTTGCAGAAACTTGTGATAAAAAAGTCTGTGAATGACAAACTAAAAATTAAACTTTCTGATTTTGTAGTGACAAATCCAGATGCATCTATTGGGATACTTAACATGGAGAGTGACGAAGTTGACATCGACACAAATGTAAATGACAAATATCACAGAATATGCATTGAAAAAGTCACAAAAGATGTAGTAAAGAAAATTGTAACAAGTAACACACAAAAACGTGAAGATGAACAGTTTCCATACTTTATTAAGCCAACACTAAATGTGAAAAATTTCAATGAAAAATTTCTTGATTTTAACCAACTTGAAAAGTTGAAATATATATATTACGATTATAGAACTTACTTGTATGAATATAAAATTAGTTCTAATTGGAATAATATTAAAAACATCGATTTGACACAATTATATAGATTGGGAATAATATCAATGTACTTTGACAAAACAGTCGAGACAACTGTTACAATGCCAAATCCAGTAAATGCCAAATTTCTAACATTTGGTTTTGTAACAAAGTCTCCAAATACAATCCATTTTGTTAATATAGAAAATTGTTATCATTTAAGTAATGTGAACATTAACTGTTCATTCAACAACATAACACTTGATTTACGAAATAATCATACAGATTTGGTTTTGATAAACACAGGTAAAGAAATTGCAAAAGTTAACTTTTTGTGTGTTTTTCCAACTAGTTATTGCATATTGAAAGGGTTGGATATCAAAGAAATCACTTTTAATAACAGTGGATTTAATTGTTCACTAACATTTGTTAATATGCAAAATTTGAAAAAAATTGTATTTAAATATGAATCGAACAGAAAAAGTTATGAAAAACGAAGAAGACAAGAAGAGATTGAAATTTCTGTCGGTCACCCCGTAGAAGTTATATTTGGGCATGAAGATAATTTTGATGATTTGTTTTATTATTCTGTTTATAAATTAATAATTTTTTATCCAAAAAAGACTTAAAATTCCATAAAAACAATAAAGAGATAGAAAATGAATATTTTATTATATATTATTATTAAAGTTGGTTTAATAAACTTATTATTTTTTTGTCATTTTTCATTTACAATTGTTTGATTCATTTGAACATTTTGCTGTATTATCGTTTAATGCGTGTTAATCAACGCGTTTTAAACATCAACGTTAATTCCAACTCTTCCAAATAAATCATTTTATTTATTGATGTAAAGGAACAACACTTCTTTGTTTTTAACCTAAATATTTGATAATCGAAATTGTATTTATTTGGGTTTTTATGTTTTTGTATATGATTTTTGAGTTGTAAAAAAAAAGGAAAAAATCTAGCAATTATTCTCAATACATTAATGCTGTTTTCAGACTGACTTTTATATTTATTACAAATGATATAATAATTGTACATTTTTAAAAAGCTTAAAAACTGAATTTTAAAAACTGTTAATTAGAAAACTATTAAAATTTTAACAAGTTAAAGCTATTCTTCAA